AGACAGTCACCCCACTGAACACTTCTTTTAACAATAAAGATGCCATGTCTTGGTAGGGGAAGCGACACGTGCCAGGCCATATGCTCAAAGGTGCTCAAAGGGAATACCTACACTAGGTTCTTGGGGCTCCAGGGACAGGGAAATCTCCCAGCTATCCTGAGCCTCCACCCCAGAAAGGACTCCTGGAATTTCCCAGAATTAATGGAGTACCCATTAAGTTTATCTGGATCTTGGGCAAGCAAATGTCCCAGACCCAATTTTGGATTAGCATTCTTTAGGAGCTACTAGAGGCCAGGGTGGAGTCAGTGTAGACAGATGCACTGTGTCCTCGAGGGATATGCTTGTAAGTCTTTTCATAATCTCCAATAGACTGTATGTGGTCTATTCTTGAAATCAGATGTTCCTCTTCTCCTTGGTCTGCTTCTCCAGGGCACCTGATACCTCAAGCTTTGGTTCTATTTTTAGAAGGAAACTGGAGCCACCTGACATTTCCATAGCTCTGTTTTCTGAGTTTTCAGCCTGCTGGGTGAGAGTAGGAGGTGGAATCCTGGACCCAGGAGTCCTTGATGGGTACAAAGCAAGCAGACCTGTATCCAAGAAGGCTCAAGGCTGGCAGGCTCACGCCCACCCAGTGGGGGATGGTTGCTATGGGTTTTGAGTTTGCATAGTATCACCAAGCTCTTCTGATAAGTGATGGGGGCTTCCTGGCCAGGAGACAAGGGAGAGGCAGAAGGCAAAGGGTACACCTCCCTAGAAGGACTGAAATGTGTTCTGAGTGACTCCGACTTCACTAGAGTAGAAGACTCCACTGACCTGCAACAGTATTTAATTTCACTTCTGTGGCTGTCATAAAATATCCTGACCAAACAAAACAAAACAAAATAAAACAAAACAAAATAAACAAAAAACCTTACAGGAGAAGGTGTTTATTTGGCTTTCAATTCTAGGTTATAGCCCATCATTTCACAGAAGTTAAGGCAAGAAGCAGAGGCAGGTAGTCAATTCAATAGTCAAAAGCAGACGAAGAAGGCAAGGTCACTTAGTGTTCAGCTAGATTTCTCTACTCTTATATACTCCAGTGCCCTAAACCCAGGGATGGTATCACCCACTTCCAGGATGGGTTTGTTCACACCCATTGAGACAATCCTACACACACACACACACACACACACACACACACCATCCCCTCACTGAGACTCTCATTTCTGGTGATTCTTGGTTTCAGTGAGTTGACAAAGTATCTCAAGTGGCCTTTGGCGGTTTGTGAGGGGAAGTAAACACAATGATTCTGCTTGCAATTGCAAAATCTTCCTTCCATGATCTCACTCTGCCTTTCAACCCTGTGACAAGTTTGTGGTGGCCTGCATTTAGGGCTGGTGTCCATTAGTTTCCAAAGGGTAAGTTTTACCGGCCAGGTCCACTGTAAATGAGTGAGGCAAAACTGGGTTTCAGCCCCTATTAGTCTAATGCCATACACATGCACTCTTGACCGAAATACATGGCCACCCACTTATAGCTACAGAATCTATTTTCTGAGAATTCAAACAAAGGTTCTTCCATTTCTCATGAGATCAATCCCAAATTCATTTTCCCACACACACTCTTCCTTTTATAGCTCTGCAAGGGATACAGACAGTATGACTCATGGGGGATTCATTTCAAGGGATTTATTATGGTACATGTACCCCATGGCCTTATGAGTTTGAGTACTTGGTGTAGCTTTTGGAGGTGGGGCCTTGATAGAGGAAATGGGATGCTAGGGGCTGGCTTTGAGGTTTCTGTAACCTGCCTTCACTTCCTGTTGTTTCTCTACTTCCTGATCCACCCAGATAAAAGCAAACCACCTCACACTCTTGCCATCACAGTGAGTGGCTTCTGATGTGCCTTCCCCAACCATGACGGCCTGCATCCTCCAACTGAGAGCCGGGATAAAGCCTTCCTCCCTCATGGTGACTTGTTAATTGTTCAGTCCCAGGGATTAGAAGCCCATCCTATATGTGTGTGCTTTGCTCACAGGTAAGGTGAAATTCCATTTGCTCAAAAGAAATTCTGCTTTTATAAAACTAAGGCACTGGTGAGAATCATTTTCAACCTCATTCTGGATCTTTTATGGATTTTTCTTAGAATTGCATATATTCTGACTGCTTTGGATGAAGGAGACCACAATTATATTTACTCTACTATTACTCAAATAGAAGGGACTTTTCTTCAATAAAATTACTAAGGTAAGCTACATTCTGGAAAAAATATACATCACACACACACACACACACACACACACACACACACACACACACACACACACACACACACCCACCCA